AGGACTTATTGGCTGTAAACTCAACTTTTCAACTTTTGGGTTTAGGGTTTAGGGATAAGTTAGTCGATTCTGAAAGTTTCAACTTTTTTGTCCTTGGGTTTTGGGCCAGTGAGAGGAGGAGGATGAGAGCGGAGGGATCAACTCCATCGCCTTTGTCCAAAAATGATCCGCGCTGACGGGCGAAGAGCCGAACCATAGGTTTAGGGTTTAGGGGCTGAATTAAGTCATGTTCGATGTCAGAATCTTTTGTTCTATGAGTTATACTTACGCGTATTATATTGATCCCATTGCTTGCCCTCCCTCCCCCCACACGCACACACCTAGCCGAAGTTGAAGAAATTGTTATGTGTGTGCCTGACTCGCAGACTTCCCGGACCCTAAACCCTAAACCCTAAACCCTAAACCCTAAACCCTAAACCCTAAACCCTAAACCCTAAACCCATCCACCGTTCATGCAAAGTTTGCGCTGTTGACGGGAATTTGCCTCTTCGCTCTTCTCCTGCACCTTTAGGTTCATAATCTACCAACAAATAGACTAGGGTTTAGGGTTTAGGGTAAGAATACTACAACGTAATTACTATAATGCACTATAGGGTACTAAAACAGGCTAGACTTGCACCAACAAAAGTCGCAGTCTGTGGCAAGTCTATTTGCCAGCCGAAAGCCGTTAGCTGGAAGTTTTGGCGAGTCTGACAGCAGTCGTCTAACCAGGGGACCACAGGACCTCAGTAGTAACCGCTCCGGCCTTGGAGTTAACATAGGGGCCTTAATAATTCCCTATACTATTTTGGGGCTTCCTCATTATAATTATAGTATGGCAAACTCGAGGACCCTATTCTCATTATTACGGCCCCTACATTACTCACGCAGTGCTGCTTCCCAGCTGATCCGCAGAGTCTCGGTTAGAAAAGAATTTGGGCCCTAAACCCTAAATCCTATAGCCTACAGCACGTGGCTTTATGTGGTCTTCCGATTTTTCCAGGACCTGCGACCTTGTCCGTTGTCTACAGGTTGCGGGCGTGGGCACCCTTCTTTGCAGAGAACCCAAGACCCCCTTAAATAAGGAATATACCTTAAGCTATAGGGTTCCTTAAACCCTACTGTAACTTAAGGTATATTCCCTAGTTAAAGGATATTGGGTTCTCTGGGCAACCTAAACCCTAAACCCTAAACCCTAAACCCTAAAACCCTAAACCCTAAACCCTAAACCCAAAACCCTCCTGAAATGCAACCTTGGCCCCAAAGACTCAGCGCACTAACGGGAGCCAATCCTGAACGACCCAGGTTTTAGGGTTCAGGGTCTACGAGAGGGTTTAGGGTTTAGGGTTTTAGGTTTTAGGGTTTAGGGTTTGAGGGTTTAGGTTTTAGGGTTCAGGGTCTACGAGAGGGTTTAGGGTTTTAGGGTTTAGGGTTTAGGGTTTAGGTTTTAGGGATCAGGGTCTACGATAGGGTTTAGGGTTTAGGTTTTAGGGATCAGGGTCTACGATAGGGTTTAGGGTTTAGGTTTTAGGGATC